TTTTTAGCACTTTTTAAACATAATGTACACTGACATAATAATTTAGTCATGCATTTCCACTGCAGACTTGAACACAATGGTGACTGAAACAGGGAAGGGAAAATCCAAAGGCACACAGGAGAAAACTCTGAAGTTTGAGAGTTTTTAAATCAATGATCTCTTTTTGGATATTCCTTGTATTTTAAACAGGAGGGTTCTTTCTTGTATAGGTGCAAACCCACCCTGGCACCTAAGCCCCACACAACAGCTTATTCCCCACTAAACACTCTGCCACTACAGCCACAGTTGTAGGAAGTGTCAGTGGCATGCACCCACATACACTGTGTGCCTGTACATCTCTACCTATCTACATGTCTAGCGTGACCATTCTTGGGTGCTTATGGCTGTCATGCGTTATTTACAGCTCTCATCACCTCTCTTTCTCTACCTGTCCAGTTGAACCAAGCACTAAAGCAGGAAATAACTGTCACATGAAGCTGCCAACACACTTCCTGCCCTTCTAAAGCCGAGAGGGAGAAGTTCTGCTGGGTCAGATAACCTGTCTCAGCACATCCAGTGATGCACACTATTTCCCAGAAGATAAAGTTCTGTGATACATCCCTGCTTAAGCTCTGCAATACTCAATTTCTGAGGCAGATGTTAACAGCCCATTTTCATGGAATCATATGGTTTGGGTTGGAAGGGACCTTAAAGATCATCTGGTTCCAATCCTCTGCCATGGGCAGGGACACCTCCCACTAGACCAGGTTGCTCAAAGCCCTGTCCAACCTGGCCTTGAACACTGCCAGGGATGGGGCATCCACAATTTAACTGTATGCCTTGGAACACAGGGGACTGATAACCCATTTCACTCCAGCCAAACCATCCATGTCATGAGTTTTTCTGCAGTCGACACTTACACAGCAATTTCACATGTTGAAAGAGGTTAAACTAAGTTCAGCTGTTAGAAGTGTCGAACAGCAGGAGCTCGCTACTACACCCCAAATATAAGCCTCGCGACAGCAAGTTCCATCCACCCAGTAACACCTTATACATAAAACCTCTCTCTCTTCTGCCACATTAAGGGTGTAGCTTTCTAGGCTTTGGAACTGGAAATGAAGAAGCCCTCATCATGTCCTCTTCACTGTTAACTGCACGTTCTTTCCCTGTTCTTCTGCATTTGACATTCTAGTAGTAAACAGTGGCAGATCAGAATCACTTTGCAAGTAATTGTGCAGATTCCAGAACCATCATGCCAACTTTATGCAGACAGAATTCTTTAAAGCCATGAAGACATCTCTTTCTTCCTTCTCCGCGCCCCCTCCCAGTTGCATAAGCTTATTTTTCAACATTTGGCAACAGAACGAATATATTAGACACAAAGGACCAAATTTGTTGTTGTTGTTTTCCTTTTGAGCTTCCTTAATTAGGACTCCAATATTTGGAAAGTAAAAGGAAAGAAATGCACTGTGGTATAGAACTATCAATATTAACGAACAAGCCACATTTCTTGCTTTTAAAAATATTCTGTTTGAGGCTAAATCAGCATATCTAAAAGTGACCTATTTGGAATAAGTATGTCACCAAGTTTGATATTTAGGTCAGTATTTGTGCAATAATTCTAGTCCTGAGCTTCAGAAAACAGAGTTCTGTTCACCTCGGGACACACACTTACAGGAAAATCAATCCTAACACCCATTCACAAATCCCTTTCAAAAATTTACTGGGGCAGAGCACAAGAGCTGTCTTGGCTAAAATAGATTTCACTGTTAGAAGGAATCAGATTATTCAGGAATGATGCTCATTTTTAATTAAATTGAGCCCAAGTCTCTGCAAACATGAATTCAAATCTTGTCTAGCATACATATATTTATTGCATGAGTGATGCATTAGGATTTGTCTCATTCTGGAACACCACTAAAAAGTCAACATTGCCAATATTCTGTGGGGAGAAAGACTGCAGAGCAAGCATTCTTTGCAAAGTCTCCTTTCAAGATTAAGCTTGCTATTTGAAAGTTAAAATAAGAATCTTCTAGATCTTTTGAAGTACACAAAAGACAGACATGAAATTTTTTTCATAGTTAAACTGAATAGAGCAATTTCATTGAAATATTTTACCAGGGATCATCTTCTGCATTAAAATTTATAATTAAAGTTCCCATTACACTTGTAAGTATCAGAAGCCTCAGTTTTTGGCAGCACACATCAGGAGCATGAAGAACTGCAGAAAAACTACCACTGCACTAAGTTAACACGAATGTCAGTTTCAAAACAAATGACATTAAATAACATCTATATTTAAAATACAGCCTTCAATATTATCCATAATAATTCACAAAAATGCAAGAACTGTATATACCACCACGATTAAGGAAGAATCTGTAAGCACCGTGTGACCTAATCCACAACAAGCAACTAGAAGCTCAGAGCTAGAAAGCCATAACATCTCCCTTCCTAAATTTGCATGCCTTTAGACATCCAATGCTTTTCACAGTATTTTCTTGGTTAGAAAGAATATTTCTACTTCTTTGAACCTGAGCAGCTTCCAAACACCTGAGGCAGAGTACCTCATATAAATGCTGGGGTTTATCCTGCGTGAGAACGTTAGCTTGCCTGAACTACAGAGCTGAAGATGAAATTTTCTCATTTATTTCTACATGTAAATCATGGACGATGCACCTTACAATTAAGCACTTGGACACAAACAGCATCAGCGGGAGGAAATTTGAGTTACTTCTGCAGCATTACTAGTTTCTGTTTCTGTTCTTTAGAAACAGTGTTAATGCACAGTACTTCCCACACAGCTGCCCTGCATACAATCACGCTTGTCTCTTTTTTTCCCATCTAAGGATAGAAAACCCAAACATTAAAAATCAACTTGAAGCAGCAAAGTACTATTTCAAAATCCATGAATCTAGAATCCCAAGTCTCATGTTTTGGGGCTGGGGGGTGGGAAGTTTGGGAAAACGAAACATCATTTTTTTCCTTGAAGCATGTTCTACTAACAAAAACAATAGCACAGTGAGTTTCTTCAGTTCTGACAGCCTGAAAAGACACTTGAAACTATGTATTTTCTTTCTACTCTTACATAAGAAAAGTGGGAGGTTATCATGAGTGCATGGGGATATGTTCTCATGCTGGCTATCATCCCGATGCTGTTAGTCATTTGGGTGAACCGGAGAGAAAGAGAGAAGCACAGCATGGCACAGAACAAGCTTGAGCTGCCAGTAATTCAGAGGGGCTTTCTGGCCATTTATCTCCACTTCTGAAGTTCATTGTTTTCCACTGTTTTTCTCACTCATTAGATTTGCCTTTCATTTATCTGATGTCAAAGCCTCTGGAGATGAAAGGGCACTACTCTCCCAGAGATCCACAAAGCGGCAAGAACTCAAAAACCTGACAGACCACGCCTCACCATGTCTCATAAAATGTGCCTTGGGGATTTTTACCTTGAGGCTTAACAGACCAGAGCAGGGATGCCAGAAGAGTGGCTTTAAAAAGAATTTTAAAACTTACTACAAAAAAAACCCCTATAGGACATTTTAAAAGATGCATGTGGTGGGAGGTGCAGTACGTACTGCTAGAAGAAAGTTTGACATAATAATCAGACCTCTTAAAAAAGCCCACAACCCAGGCTGTACCACTGGCAACAGGCTGGATAATACATTATTGCAATCTAAAAAGACAAATCTACCATGCCATAATTATCTCTCAGTAGCAATACACACAAACCCAAGTTGCTTTAGCGTAGTAAAGAGCGTAACAGACAGCCCTATCAGGTATAAAACTAACGGGCAGTTTAGGCCCAACTGGAAAACCAAAGAAAGAGTGCTGACAGCACAGCAAAAAACTTGCATGGTCATAAATAAAAATTCAGTTGTTCAAGATACATAAATTACTTTAGAGGGGATTTATCAAAAAAGTGGCAGGGATTAAGAGATACAACACGTAATCGCAAAAACAACCTTTCAGCACCACAAAGTGGAACTGAAGGTTCAAGATAATGCAGGACCTAAAATCCTATACTAAATTGTGCTCTACGTACAGTATAAAATTTGAAGGCTTTACTTGGTTTTTGGGTTTTTTTACTGACATAAAATGATTGCTTATTAACCCCTTTATTCCATCCTCCCCCCAAAAAATAACCAACCTACACACACACACACAAAAAAATCAAATAGTTATCAAACTAAAGAGAGATTCAGCAACATTTCCAAGCAAGAAAATATTCCTTAATTCTGGACATTTAATCTTTAGGGTCTGTGTAAGGAAAGAATTAAAAAAAATTTTACATATTTTAGGTTTTATTAACACTGAAACAAAGCTTTTAAAACTAAATTTTAGCAGTTCCATTTGTCATTCTTTTTATTCTAACAGTCTCACTCCATCCATCCAGCAGGATCAAGATGTGAAGAGGGAGAAAGTCCAGCACAACACTTTGCTTACACAACCATGGTAAAAAGATTCCTCATCATAAAACCAGAGTGGTTTTGGTTGGAAGGGACCTTAAAGATCATCTAGTTCAATCCCCCTGCCATGGGCAGGGACACCACACACTAGATCAGGTTGCTCTGACCCCCATCCAGCCTGGCTTTGAACACTGCAGGGATGGGGCAGCCACAGCTTCTCTGGGCAACCTGTGCCAGGGCCTCACCACCCTCCAGATTTCTTGTAGACCCGTTTTAGGTCTTGGAAGACTGTTGTGAGGTCTCCCCGAGCTTTCTCTTCTCCAGGCTGAACAAGCCCAACTCTCTCAGCCTGCCTTCACAGTAGATGTGCTCCAGCACCTTGATCATCTTCGTGGCCCACAGAAATCTCAGTATAAACACAGGAAAATTCAGCTCCCTATTGCCTGTTACCAAGAGCTTTCAATTTGAGTGTTGTTTGTGCAACACTAACAGCAGCAACAGCAGGTCATGACAATGAGCCCAGAAGAGGGACTGTAGCACTGCATGGACAAGACAGAAGCAGGGAAGATGGTATGAACATGCCATTCAGGCAGGAATTATCACTATTCTTACCTTTGATGCTTGTCGAAGCCATCGCAAATATTCAGTGAAGTTATCGAAACAAATGTAATAGGTCTGGCTTTGAGGTCCAGAAGAGCTAAATGCTAAACAGTGCTGGTGCTTTTTCACTTCTTCCACCTATAGTAGAGACAAAATTGTAAATGAACAAGAATCAAAAGCCTCTTTGCAGAACTCCCCAGGGCAAAGTTAAAGCGTACCCAAGAGGAGATCATCAATTAAGAGTTATGCTAACCCTCTCAAACACTGAAGCTGCATCTTGGCTGACAAATATTTGGGAAAGCTATACAAGCAAGGAATGAGAACAGAAAGACAAAGGAAGCACATGATCAAAACACCAAGAACATCAACATTTTAAGACTGAGCACCACAAAAGGTTTCCCAGTGAACACATTTAAGGCTGCCTTTATACAACCTAAATAACTATGATTTATACTCTTAGTTATTAAAAACAGGCTTAACAAAATGCTGCTCTTACAACCCAATTAAATTCTTTGGCATTTCTCAACTTGCTAAAAAAACACCCAGAATACATCATTCTGCTACCATACACGAGAAGTCCCACACAACTTCTGGTCTCAATGTCTCAGCACTGCATTCTGGAAAGCCTTTGCACACCAGGAAGTGCAGAGTATTTATGGGGTTGAGGAAGAATATTTTTTTTTTGAGTGATAATTTAAAAAACACTTAATTTTGTGCCAAGCATCCTCCTCCCAAGCTTTGTCAGCAGAAGCCCTCAGTACATTTTCCTCAGCTTGGTTCTCCTTTTCTTTTAAAATTTGTTGTCAACTTTCAGCTTAACACAGTCTGCATGTTTTACATGACATGAGGCATTTCCGTGCAAAAACAACTTAGAACTTCCATGTTACAGAATTAAAATGATATGCAATCTCTTCTATTTTAAAATAAATAAATAATAAATATATATATATTTTTCATCTTAAAGAGCAAAGTTAATGAGGACCTGAATCCTGTCTTCTCCGGTGTGCTACAGCCAGGAATAAAACGTTAAAGTTCACCCACTGCTTCTAAAAGAGGACAATGTCCCTACTTCAGTGCCTCTAGGAAAGAGCTGAAGAATCATGTGAAGAATCATGAAAGGAGATAGGGAAAAATCCAGCTCCTAGAAGTTGGTATTACTTTCCACATTGCTAGTCTAGAACATTAACAAATCAGCTTTAGACTGAGCATATAACACTGTGAAGATTGTTTCTCTCCCAGTGACTCTCAAGAATCAAACTTATCAGTATGCAAGGTAAAGGAGCATTACTTCAGGTGTAAATTCATCCTCAAGCTGATGATTATCTTCCCATTACCTTGGCTAATCAAGCCAATGACAGTGTATTAAAACACTATATAGATCAAAATAGTAATGTTGTAATCTTACTGTCTTCACTAAAGTTTCCCAGAATCACAGTACAGTTGAGGTGGGGAAGGACCTCTGGAGGTCATCAGCTCCAACCCCCCCACTGCTTAAGCAGGACCACCCACAGCCAGATGTCTGGGACTGTGTCCACACAGGTATTTTAAATCTCTCCCAGGAGGGAGACTACACTACCTCTCTGGTCACCTGTGCCAGTGCTCAGTCATCCTCACAGTGCAAAACAGACTTTCCTTGTGTTCACATTGGACCTCCTGGGTCCGATCCATAAGAAAAAAGTCCAGTTTCAGCTTTTTGCAAGTAAAAACGTCTGATGCTGTCAGCTTACAATAGACTACTACTCATATAGTGCTGAACACTCAAAAAAACCCCAATGTTCAAAATAAGCCCATGTCCTTACTGGTTAATTTTCAGATTTTTAGAGTAACCCAGCGTGGGTAAAACCTGGATGAGAAGGCATGGTACTGATCACACACAATACAGCTGCATGTCTGTATCCTTTGCCTGTGTACTACGTGTACTACTGCACATAAAAAACATTTAACATTGCACGCAAGAATCTGATTGTGTGTGCCTTGCTTTTCTTTAGCATTTTAATCCAAACATTGTAAATTGTTAAATACTACACTCTGGCCATAATCAGAAGTAATTTACATACTTTGATAATCCCATTTACAGGAACAAGCTTTTTGGAGTGGGTCAGAATCACCATAATTGAATGCAATCTTCTCTGCATAAAGAGATATGGGATAAGTAAGCAAATACATTAAATGAAATCTCTTACTTTTCCACCAATTAAAGGGAGAACATGCATCTTTCCAGTCTGGCTTTCTTTTACTGATGAGACAATTAGGCATGTTCCACAAAGGATAGCTTGGCGTCTTGTCCATCTGTTGACTGGCAAATGTATTTTCCCTTTTCGAACATTGTACATTCCTGAGAGCTGAATCCGTTCAGAGCTGCCAATGCTGTGGGGCTTTCCTGAAATAGAAACAAAAGCATCCACTTAATCACAGAAAACCTTTGCTTCTTTCACTCAAGTCATCCGGAGACTTTATCAGCAAGTTTTCAAGCTATAGACTGCAGCGGGACAAATGAAACAGCTTCAGAACCATGCAAGCAGGTAATTAGTATCAGCTCCAGTCCAGGCTTCTTTGACAGGTAAAGTACATGACAGGTTGGGATCACAGAGAGCAGACCACATTAAATAACCTGCAGTAATCACAGAAGCACCAATTAATGGCACCAGTCTTCTCTGTGGGACCTGGAAATCAAATCTTCATCCTCAACAGTAAGTAACCGGTTACTGCTGAGTTCACATAGACCGTTTGTAACTGCAAAAAGTGGGTGATGGTATGGCATGCTAAGCCACACCTTTGCACTTCCATGTCTCTTCTGGCCATCCTTCAGGTCTCGGTTTGAGTAGCTTCAACAGCTTCCCAAATAATACAGTTCCTTCTCTGTCCGCCCCACCGTGTTCAGTCCAAACCCCACAAGCAGAGGTAGTACACTCAGCCACAATGTAAACAGATGCGAACTAGATGACACTCCTCAAAGACCCTGCTTCAGTCTGAGTACAGCTTTGGAAAGAGT